CTAAATGTGTGGCTATGATACAATTTCTGAGAAATTCAAGATCATGCAGATAGCCTACAGCCACAGAATTTTTATTTTTAATTTTAGTCTTTTGGCACATGACCAGTAGACCAAATGATGTGAGAGGAAGCAGAGGAGGTGTGAGTGTTCATAAAGTTATTGCACATATCAGTCAGCTCTGTTGCTCAGCTTTCATTTTAATGAAGAATAAGTTATTTTGTTTTTGCCCCAGCATGTGCTGGGAACCCGTCCTTGGTGAAACCTCTATAATCAAAAAAGCCAGCATGTCCTAGACCAGGGGTGTCAAACTCACTCACAAAAGGGGGACAAAATTAAAATCTTTTTCAAACTAAGGGCCGCTTTCAGAATCTACATTAACTCAATTTAGATCCCCGACATCTTTTCTTGGTTGCAGGTTCCTCAACAAGAGTTTGATTGGTCTCATTTAATGTTTTCTTTTGCACTGTTGACATCATAATCAAAGATTACTGAAAAAAAATCAAGTGATAAAAGTATTTTACATTTAAAATAACATCTTGGGGGCCAGATAAGATGTCGACGAGGGCCACATTTGGCCCCCGGGCCTTGAATTTAACACATATGGCCTAGACGATGCTTCTGTATATGCACTCATTCTTGTCTCGACTTTTTATTTTATTGAGGACAAAGTGTCAACCTGTTTTCTGATTGGCTCGAGATAATTTAATGAAACATGTTGCATATTATTTTCATCTCCCCAGCTTCAAGGTTAAAGTCAAAAATCAAGGTAAAATGTTGTACAAAGTATTTCCTTGTCTGAGCATTTGATATAGATGTGTGTGTTGTATGAATGTTTGTCGACAGGTGTATAATGTGCCGTATACTTGTTGACTGTGTTTATATGGCATGTTAATACGGCAATCGTCGCTTTTAGAACCACAAGCTGTTGTTTAAAATGTTTCCTTTAATGTAGAAGTCTTTTTGAACAGATGTGACTTAATTTCTCATTTTAATCTTCTAACTACCTCAGTCTTAGAGATTCAGCCTGAGTCACTGGGTGTAAAACCTTAAAAAGATGTAACTTCCTGTTAGTCAAAAAGTGCTTGTGCTCATATTTAGTCAGAGTGAAGATGACTATGAAAGAGAACAACTGTACTCTCGAGGTGGTCACTGTGTCAACACCAAAGTTGAAGTCATCAGTCTGAGCTCTTCAGATTGTAGGATATTACTTCTTTTTTTTACTTTTCGGGTATTTCAGATATATTACTGCTAGTTTTTAAACATGCTCCTTTTCGTCAGTTCAGAATAAAGGGACGAGACAGCCCCTGGTTTACTCCTGAGATATCTGACCTCCTGCGCAGGAGAGATCATCTTTGGGCCACAGCGAGAAAATCTGGCTCAGACACTGATTGGTTGAGTTTTCGACAGATGAGGAATAAATGCACAACTGCCGTCAAAGCAGCAAAACACAACTATTTCTTATCTCAGACCTCCAAAAATCTAAATGACCCCAACAGATTCTGGAAAACCATCAAATCTCTCTCAGGCACCCCCCCAATCATCTGACCTCCCATCACAACTTCTCTTTAACTCTGTTCCTGTGTCAAATAAGCACGAGATCCTGAACTGTTTCAACAAACATTTTGTTGCTTCTAGTTCTTTATTTGACACAGTTACTAATGGAAGATCAGCCACTTCCCCTAATAACCAAACTTCTACAAATCAAATCCCTCCTATAAATCAATCCTCAGTTAATCACACCATCTCTTTTTCTCCATTCTCAGTCAGTGAGGTTAATAAACTGTTAAAAGATCTTGACCCTAAAAAAATCTGCAGGACCAGATGAACTTCCACCTTATTTCTTAAGACTGGCTGCTCATATCATCACAGTCCCTGTGACCCACATCTTCAATCTCTCCATAAGACAAAACTCCATTCCAGACACTTGGAAAACAGCCTTTGTTCTTCCTTTGCTGAAGGGAGGAGACCCCACCTCACTGAACAACTATCAACCAATCTCTAAACTCTGCATTTTAGCCAAGGTTCTAGAAAAACTGATAAACTCTCAAATCATAAATTACCTGGACTCATTTAACATCTTACCTCTCCATCAATCTGGTTTCAGGAAACAACACAGCACAACCACTGCTTCACTGAAGGTTCTTAATGATGTTGTTGAAGCACTGGATGCTAAGGATTATTGTGCTGCACTTTTCTTAGACCTGTCTAAAGCTTTTGACACTGTGGATCATAACATCTTGTGTCATAAACTCTCAGAAATTGGTTTCTCAGAACACACCATTGGTTGGTTCTCTATCTTTCAGACCGGAGGCAATGTGTTCAACATAATGGTACTTCCTCCAGTTATTCAACAGTCAACAATGGTGTACCACAAGGCTCAGTCTTATGACACACCCTCTTTACAATCTGCATACATAATGTTGGTAAAAACATCCCTGATGCATCCATTTCTATGCTGATGACACAGTTGTTTATTGTCGAGCTAAAACAGTTGTTAAGGCTTTCCAGCTTTTGAAATCTGCATTCAACATCATCCAGTCTGATTTGTTCCGCCTCAAACTTGTCCTAAATGCCGACAAAACCAAAGGGATGCTTTTCTCAAATAGGAAGTTGGTCCCAGCAGTTCTTCCTCTGATTTTATCCTCAAATGGTGTCCCGATTGAGTTTGTTGATTCCTATAAATATTTGGGTATCTTGGACACATCTCTCTTTTAAGCTCCATGTGGAAAACTTGGTAAAGAAACTGAAAGTTAAACTGGGTTTCTTTTTCAGAAACAGATCCTGTCTAAACCCTGAATGCTAGGAAACACCTTGTATCTGTGACCTTCCTTCCCTCCATTGATTACGGTGACATTATTTACATGAACACTCCTACAAGAACCCTGCAGATGTTGGATGCTGTCTATCATGGTGCACTAAGATTCATAACTGGCTGTGATTATCGTACCCACCACTGCACCCTGTATTCACTGGTTAACTGGACATCATTAACTTCACGCAGACTCTCCCACTGGTACATTTTCATCTTTAAATCACTTCTTGGTCTGCTGCCTTCATACATCTCCTCCTACATGTCTCTGTGTGAGTGCAGCTACAGCGTGCACACTCAGGACATTATTACCTGCAGTGTTCCCTCAGTGCGGACTGAACTAGGCAAAAGGGCCTTCTCCTACTCCGCTCCTGTTTCCTGGAATATCTTACAAAAAGATTTGAAGCTGTCGACCATGACCTCTCTAAGTGGCTTTAAGAATCTGTTGGACTCCTGGCAGGGACCAATGCAGACATGTTCCTGTTTTTAGTTTTCTACATTCACCTTAGAATCTAGCTGTTTTTATGTTGCTTTTCTTTTTTTTTTAGCATTCCTATTTGTTAAAAATTAATAAAATTTGTATGACTTTTTATAACTGTTTATTGTTGTCGCTGTTGCCCATTGTTGTCATAATTCTTTGTTGAAATCAGGTCTCTCTTGTAAATGAGTCCTCGAGGCTCAACGGGATTTACCTAAGTAAAGGTTGAATGAATGAAAATTACTGCTAGTTTTATAAAGTTTTGTGTAAATCATGAAGTATCAACTGTAGCAGGACTCGTGTCCAATTCAGTTTTATTTTGATTTTGCTATGTTAATGTGAGTTAAATTATATTTTTATCACTTCACTTTTGAGGACTGCCATTGATGCAACAGATTTTCTTTCTGAGCTGTAAAATTGTTAAATGCAGATCACTTTATTTTGTTTAAGTAAATTTATTTTTACACTCGTGTTGTCATTCTTTTGTTACGTTAACTCAGGATAGCATGAAACGTTGCAGCTGTCGGTACTTAAATAAAAACTCTCCTGTTTAACTTGAATCTTCTTTTAAACTATTTTTGGCTCAAATGGGCCTTTTGGGGGGGGGGGGGGGGGTGTCATGAAAGAATAGTTTTAAGACAAGTAGTGCAGTATTTCCTGTGATGAACCACAGACCTGTTGTTGCTCAGTGGGATGGGGGGGGGGGGGGGGGCTGTTCTGTAAGGGGCTCTTATAAACATTTTAAAGGTCCCTCATTGACACAAACTCAGATAAAATGTTGTGGAAAGGTTGGACCAGCTTGACTGATAAACACTGAAGCTGTGACACGAAGTTGAGTTTGCTAAAAGTAATCGACCACCTCCGCTGAGTGTTGCACAGCAAACGTCTTATCTTTACGCTGCAGCAACGATGATGTGGGAGATCAACAGCGTTGGGTGTAGAGAAGCAGCATATGTCCCAGTATTAGAAGAAATAAAACAGACACAGAAACATAAGATATAAAGTAAAACTTTATCATGACATACAAGTTTAAAGCCCTGAGAACCATATCTTTATATTAACTAATATGAACAAAACTGAATGTGTGAAAACCACTTTGGAAAAGTGCTCCTCTTAAATACAATCAGCACAAACCAGTTTTTACAAGCATTCGTGTGTTTTGTCCCATTTTTTTTTGTTTGCTTTAATCAAAGAGAAAACTATAATATCAATATCATTATTATCATGTTCATAATAATAGTACAAAAATATGCACAAACCCCACAGTTGAATTAATATACGGAGCATTGTACAAGCCAAAACAACATAAAATTGATAAATGAGGTATTCGAGAACCACTTGCATATGAACCTGTTTAACACAGATCAGGTTAGTTTTTAAACGCTTTCAATTTAATCATCAGAGACTAAAAGGATCCTCAGACTTTCAACTTCACAGCTTCCTGAGTGACGAGGCGTGGCCTTGCAGTTTCTGACGACAACAAGCCTAAAACAGTAACACCGAAATCTAAAGAGTTCAACGAAGCGACAGCAGTCTCTGCCGGGGATCGACCCTCAACGCAGCTTCAACATCAAACTCATCGAAGCCCACTGCCCTGAGGCAATGTCGTAACACACACACACACACACACACGCACACACACACACAAGAAGTCACATTCTGTACACCTCTGCACACAGCGAGTCAGGCGATAGCAGCCTGGAGGTTAGTGAAGGGAGCAGAGGGCTGCCGGGTCAAAGAAAACACAACAGAGAGGGAAACGAACCAGCAACCCCTGACACTTTTTGATAAGACCATCACAGTGGGCTCCAGTAGCAGAAGAGGCCTGTGGCAGTACCGAACAGCTCCCATCAAATAAACTAGAACTGCACCGATGGAAAAAGGATGACTGGGACATCACAAGATCTTCCTGCAAATGTCACTCATAAAGCAGTGGTGCCACCTGCAGCGTCTTTATGATTATCACAGCTGTGCTCGCCACGTGAACACACACACACACACACAAAGGCAGTGAAGGCTGCACTATCAAACAATCACCACTAACTGCAGGCTAAGCAGATGAGGCGAACAGCTTGGACGTAAAGTAAGAAAATGTTTTAATCACACAGTCTAAATGATAAAGCTCACCTGTTACTAAAAAAATAAAAATTAAAAACAAGTTCTACCAGAACACAAAAATCACAAATAAATATCAAAACCTGTCCACACGACAGCATGAGCAACAAACGGTGTGAAACATCTGATGAAAAATGATGACTCTGCAAAAACTTTCACTCAGCAGATTTCACCAGCAACTACGTTAAGGCAGTGTCTCTATCCCTCACGTTTATGAAGATACAGCCGTGTGTCCTGCAGGGTTTCTAAACGAGACGCTCAAGTCCAAACTGCTCTGGACAGTCTGTGAAATCCTCGACTGTGATCTGCACGGCCTCACGTCTGCACATCCCGACACACAGCGGCTAAAATACAATCTAATGAAAGCTTGGAAGCTGCCCGTGCGGTTTCAACGCCTCACATTCAACACAGGTAAAGCCAGAAAATCCATTTTAATCTTAGTGATGTTTTAAATTGTAAGATAATGTTACTTTATTGGCAAAAAAACAAGAAGTTAGATTGAGTTCAAGATTAATCCAGCTATTGTTTAAATCAGGAAGTGTGTGGATGGAAAGAAGTGCCAACACTTACCGAGGGGACGACAGCCACAGTCGGTGTGTTCAGCCCCAAAAAGACTAAAATCGAGGAGCCAGCTCAGGAGGCCGGGCTGAGCCGCTGTTTGTTCTGAATAATACTTCAATCTCTCCTAAATAGGCCACTTATGCACATCTGTACATTACATGTACTCAGATTTTAGTATTTTGATGTAGTTTAAATGTACTACTGCATTACTTTCCAGTAAGTGAAGGCAAACCATAAAATATGAAAAAATAAAAAGGATTTATTGTACCTAACCTACGGTGTTTTACTGGATTTAGTGGGAAAACATTGCGCAGAGACATCAACTTGTCTCACATTGCACCTCAGCAGGCGGGACCAGGATTGTACACTGAGGACCAACTGGACTTGTCTTTGGTATCAAGCTGTGCAATAACCAGAGGATTAATGTGTTAAAACACTGGTCACATGATTGTACACATGCATACAATTTTAAACGGCCGTCAAAGTAGACGTCAACTGCAATTTCTGTGTCTGCAATCAAATCTAAAGTTAACACATCCTTTCAACAATCCTGAAAATCTGTACAACAACGAGGAGACAACATTTCTGCTCCTCTTCCCTGAAAAATATGCATATATCACTCCCCCACAGACAACAACCCCACCCTCCCCTCAAAAAAAAAAAAGCAAGAAGAAGCAAGCATGAAACAGGTCTACAAGTAAATACAGGAGAAAGAAAGCAAGACCCTCCCAATTCTTTGTCCCCAAAAACCACCCGCAGTGTGTCAGCACATCCAAGTCAGTTTCAGTTCAGGCAGGATTTGTGGCGTCAAGTCTTAATGGCTTCTCAGCCGAGGTATGTAGTGTAGCTCCCCCTACTGGAGAGTCTGATGAGGTATTCTTCAAACAGTCATGTAGTCTTGTGCATTCTTCACATATGAATCCTCTTCTAAATTAACAGTGATTCCTTGCACTTTGTTTCCTGAGAGAGATGCCCTCCACGGCAGAGGGACAAGTGTGAGGTCTGAGAACTATGAAGTGATGAGGACGCCATCCCACTTGACATTGAGCTTTGTGGCTGTTAGGATGCTTAAACGGGGAACAAAAAAAAAGATTTCATTTGATTCTGTAGCTGGGTTTAGGAATGCCTCAGCTTACCTCTCTGCCTCTCTGTGGGTGGAGACATGAGCTCAAGTCTACTGGGCTTGTTGTTGGTGGATAAGAGCTACTGTTCCCTCTTCAACTTTGTGCGCTAATTCTTTGAAGACAGCTTGTGCAGACCTGCGAGTAACTGCATTGTAGGTTTTTACTTTCAAGCTTTGTAAAGTACTTTAAGTGTATCGTCACTGAGGGCAGTTATTGTGAGGTATTTCATCTGCTGATCTACAGCATCTCCATCATTCACCAGTTTTGAGTTCAGCAAGAGGTTACAGTGTGTTAAAGGAACCTGAGCGGCCCGGGCTGGAGGCCTATTGCTGCGAGCTGGGCGCTCTGTACATGAGGTTCTACTGGTGCGAATTACCCGACTTCCCCCGATTGCAACTAGTTCAAAAAGAATACAAAAATAAAGTTGATTCAGGTTAAATATTCTACAGCTCCTGAGGTAAAGACACCACTGCAGGTTACTTGATTTGAGGTATGTAAAAAGAGAGGAAAAAAAATAAACAACAAACTTAAAAACAAATTCATTCTAAAACACAAAATCAAAAAAAAAAAAAAAAAAGACAACAAAATGGCAACAAACAAACAAAATGTTCTAAGATCAAACTTTTCAAGTTCAGTTGTGAATACACCTGTCAGTGGGTTTTGGCTGAGCTGATTGTGTTTAGCATGTACACTACAATAAAAGTGTGTGTAGATTGTGTCTGTGTGTATGAATGTGTGTGTTTGATTTAATGCATAGCAGTGATGTCATGTAATATTTCTCAGGATCGACGTTCACGACTCGACAGCCAAGAGGTTGACAGGGTTGATGAGGTATTTGTTGTGCAACAGTTTCTTATTCTACTTGATTTCTCTTTGTACTGTATTTTCATGCTGGGGCCTGTAGGAGGAAACGAGGCCTGGGGAGCGGGTACAAAGCGAAGCGTGGATTAGGGCGACCCGCTGGAAGCCGGCTCAGCTGAGCCAGAAGCCTTGGAGGAGGATGTGGAGGAGGCTGCGGGGCTCAGGGTCTGAACCTGCGGTGCAGAGAAACTGAAGCTTGCGCTGGTTCCAGCAGGAGAGGCTGAGACAGCAGCAGCCGTCACAGCGGGCCCCGGGGCCCCAGCAGACTTTTGGGCAAAAAGGGTTCCTGAAGGAAAGAGAGGAACATCATTCCATTATCATTATTAAAACTGTGCTTTTTTTAAATCACTAATGTAAAATATCCACAACTCCACTGACACAAACCTGAGTAGGTTGTCCCGTTAACCTCCACTGAGACAGTGATGCTGGCACTCCCGTTGTTTGAGATGCTCAGAGACATGTCCTGCTGCTTCTCATCTGGACAAACACAAAGCACTGATTGGTTCAATGTCCCTCACAGCAGACCTCTACATTATGCAAACTTTCTCCTTTAAATACACAATAACTTTGTATTTAGACAATTTCCAAGAATTCTAACAGTATTTCCACACTGCAACACTGACCTCTGGTGGTGATGGTTGGGGCTCCCAGACGCAGGTTCATGGGCATGTGGGAAGCCATGGCCAGGAGGTTGTGCTGGAAAGCCTGCTGCATGAGGCGCTGCTGTTCCTCTGCCAGGCGGGCCATCTTTCTCTCTGGACCCTCTCCTCCACCCCCAGTCTCCAGTTTTTCTCTGAGTTGCTCCAGTGTGGCAGCTCTCGCCAAACCAGCGACTTGCTGCTGCCCCAGGGACAGCGCAATGGGAGGCCTCGATGCCATGATCGAAGAGGCCAGGTCGTCTGGAAGTGAAAAAGATACGGACATTAAAACATGTCCATCCTTGTCTCTCATTAGGAGGGAGCTGGAAAATTGCCTAATAAAAAAAGAAATGCTTACAGACGTTAAAAGGTTCATTAAAAATTCAACAAATTGGTACTAATAAATTAAACTCATGCTTCTTCTGGAAGTGTACAAAATAAAACAACCTGAATATAAACTAACTGTGCCTTCAAGTATTCCCCTTTAGAAGTGTTTCCATTAATAATTAATTATTTTGAGTTATTTGCAACTACTCCATAGCTGTGAAACACCTTGTAATATGTCCTGTTCATCCAATTTAAATGTGACTGGTTTTACACCAGACAGCACTGGATTCAGTTATGCAAAGTGATGACAACATTTGGGGAAGCACAACCACTCGGCATCACATAAAATGAGTTGCAAGTAAAACGCAACCCATTACTCAAACCGTGAATAGGGAAGGGGTCAAGAGAGGAGTCAGGTTGTAACCAAAACCAAAGCTTCATCAGACATCACAGTAGTGTAATGACAGTGATCATCAGGACCCTCTTATTGTGAACCAGAAGCTTCAAAGTTCATGAGGTGCCCTTCTTGGTGTGGGAACCTTGTTATTTCTCAGTAAAACGCGGAGGCCTTTGAATAGCCTCAGGCTGACATGGTTTACAAGAACTTTTAAACACCTGGTTGGACTACACAAACAGACTCTAACAAAGTCATATAAAAACACTGACAATGTACACATACACACGGACATCACAGCATAGTGCATGAGGACCTAATTAATAAATAGCACATTAACAAAGTATATGTTTGCAGAACAGCTATGATAAAATTTCAAAAATACTTCTTTAAAACGTCTTCAGTTGATCCAAAATGCTGCTGCCAGAGTCTTAACTGGAGTTAGTGGGAGAGATCATATCTCTCCAGTTTTAGCTTCTCTCCACTGGCTCCATGTCAAATCCAGAACTGAATTCAAAATCTTACTTCTAACCTACAAAGCTCTCAACAACCTAGCTCCATCTTATATTACAGATCTTATTGTTCCATATTTTGCTAACAGAGCACTTTGCTCTCAGACTGCAGGCTTACTTGCGGTTCCTAGAGTTTCCAAAAGCAGAATGGAAGGCAGATCTTTCAGTTATCAGGCTCCTCTCTTGTGGAACCAACTTCCAGTTTCTGTCTGTGACACATTGTCCAGTTTTAAGACTGGGCTTCAGACTTTCCTTTTAGAGAAATCCTATAATTAGGGTTGGCTTGTTATGCTGCTGTAGACTTGGACTACTGGAGGACAAATTGACTCATTTCCTTAAATAAATTGTTAAAATTTAATAGTTTTCATTTGATACTATTTCTATCTTAACATGTGATTCTCGACCTGCCATTGTGTATCTGTTTCTCCTTCCTGTTCCTCCCAAACCCAGCCTGTCAAAGAAGATGGCTGTTGGTTCTGCTAAAGGTTTCTTCCTCACGAGGGAGTTTTTTCTTTCCGCTGTCGCCGTCATGCTTGCTCAAAATGAGAGTTCTGCGATGGAGTTAAGTTCAAAGCAGTCTGCTCCTCAGATAAATAGTGTTAACTTGTTTTTTATATATATGAATGTTTCTGTTCAGTGCTCTGAGATGACTTCTGTTGTGACTTGGCGCTATATAAATGAACTGAATTGAAAACTGAATAAAATTATCAAGGCTTGGAAAAATGTTTAGTTACTACTGTTAAACCCTAATCTGTGCAAAACTGCTTGCTCCTACATTTATTCGTAGATAGTCGTACATGTAATTTTTATATGCAGCAACAGAGGGCAGTATGTCTCTATCAATACTCAATGTATAGAACCCTGAAACACTACAAGCATGCTATCGCACAAAAGTAGCTAGTCTCCAACTCCAAACATCTTAGTTTATCCAGAGAATATATTTTTCTTTTTCAGTTACATGCAAACATCTATGTCTACTTGAAAGCCGGTTGGTTTCAAATGTAAAACTTTTGTTTAAAAATATAGTTAAAACTTAATGTATGTTTTAAAGCAATTACAATGTGATCAGATTTTTTTATCTGATCACATTGTAATTGCTTTAAAAGTTTTTTTACTTGATCTCTATGAAATTTTGACTGGCCGACGGTGCCTACCTTTCTTTAAAGAGGTTCCTGGTGAGGCCTGAAGACCGTTGAGAGTCACTGAGGTCCCTGCACCCAGACCGGACAGGTGCATCTTGGGAGGTGACAGGATGTGGGGAGCTGTGCTCGGAGAAGGAGAGAAGCGGAAGAGGCTGCTGCTGTAGCTTGGACGACGACCCTCGCGCCGATTACTGTCAATGGCGGCCTGTAGCTCGCCTGGGGAGCTCAGACCTTTCCTCTCGCACTCATAAGGGTACAAGTATTTCATGTACCTTAAGAGGAACACAAACATACAGTGTGTAAGATCACAGAATGTTTTAGCTTTAAGACCACAGTACCGGAATTTCATTTCAGAAGGAAACTAAACTCAATGTTCTGCATTTATTTAAGTGTTTCAAGAACAAATGCATTTTATTGAAGGATGTTTTTACTTTGAACAGCAGTGAAATGACTGCTCCTTGTTCAATTGATCATATTTCGACTGTCTAAAAACAAAAATGTATAACAGTAAAAACTATAACCTATTGACAAATACATGTTTTCACTCTTGTAAAAACACCACTGAACACAGGGCTATGCAAATACATAGATATGACTTCTACTGGAGAAAATCTAGGTGTATCAGCTGCGTTTCTTTACACTCCCTGCAGTTTACCCACATGGTTATCAGACTTTTATATTGACAAACTGAGCAAGACTTTTCTGTCCCAACTTCCTGTCTACCTGTACTAAACACTGTTTCTGATGAAGTGCCAATAAGCCTGGGTGGAAGTGAACTGAACGCAATAGAGAGAACAACATTTTTGCCTAACATGCCGTGAACATACGTGGAACGGATCACAACAACTCTGCACCCTCTTATGTTTTCCATCTCATTAATGAGCACACTGTATTATGCACGCTGTCTACATAATGGTAAAACACCAGTACCGAGGATCAATAAGAAGCAGTAGCAGCAGCATCTAATAGACAAAACTAGCAGAGCAACGCAACACAACAGGCTGAGCCCATTAAAATACAAGAAAGTTCATCGGGGATATCTGCTGCTGAAGGAGATAGAGAGGTGTTACTTCGACTGAAGAGTTTCCATCAAGAGAAAGAGAGATTTAGTCTTGGCTAAGCATATAAGCTGTCAGTCAAGCCCCACCTTAGTCACTGTGTATGTACCCTGACCCAACTCACATCAATAGATCATGAGGCTCAATGGGTTTGTGTGTGATGTAATAGTTGGGAGGACTGAAAGTGACAAGGGAAGGAGAGGAAAACAAGCTTACACATATAAGAACGCAAAGGCAATTCACATTAACATTTATACTCATACCAACACACACCCATTGGAAGACTTGACAGGGAAAGCGTGTTGGCAGAGTTTTTCTTATGTCTTTACAAAATGAAGCATCTGTTAATTAGCACGAGTCATTACATGGTCTATGTAGGTAGCTGCACTGATTAAAATAGGAGAAAATCTGTTCTAAAAGACTTGTGGCACATGTCAACAGCACGCACACTACACGCACCTAATGAATAAGAAAGGTGTTTGTACCTAGGGATGGGGCCGATCTGATCCGGTATCGGCCTCCGATACCAGCATAATTTACATATACATATACATATACATATATATATATATATATATATATATATATATATATATATATAAACGAAACAAAAACAGCTACATTATAAAGCGATGTAAAATACTAAAAAACATGTATGTGTTGGTTTATGCCACGAACTTAGCAGATGTTAAAAGGCATTTATTTTTTCAATTTTATTTAATTCATTTATTTAAAAGAAACAAAATAAACAAAACAAATTCATCAAAAAGAAAACATTAAATGAAAAAAGTGCAGAAAGAGGGGAAAAAAATTATTATATCTCCCCCTTATTTACAAAAAATATATAAAATAACTTTAAACAAACAATTACTTAATCACTTTAATATCCACTTTAAAGCTAGGAATATAAAAAACATGTTTTGTGTTAGCAGAGTTTAATTCTAACTTTGAAACTTATCCAACATTAATAAAGCGTACCTCAAGTTGCCTTTTTGGACATGCATGCATAGATTTGTACAAATTGTACTTCAGAGGAGATTATTACAGCTTCATATAAAATCAATGATGATGACGATATCGGAACTGGATCAGTATCGGCCGATATCCAGATTTAGGTATCGGGATCGGATCGGAAGTTTAAAAAATGTGGATCGGTGCATTCCTATTTGTACCCAGTTTAAATTTTACACACTTGACATTCTTTATTTGGTTGCTGTAAATTCATTTAATGTTTATCACAAAGACGCAAAAACTCACTGTGTACGCAGAGTAAAAGCAGCACTGGTGATGGATGTAGGCAGGTTGAGTCCCTTTGTGATTTCTCTCCAGATCTTCTTGTTGATGACCTCAACGAGACCTCCTTTCTCTGTCACCAACTTGTACAGCATATACAAATCCAGAACCTGCTTGGCCATGATGGGAATACGATTGACTGGAGTTCCTATACAGATAAATATAAAATAAATCACTGTATTATTAACCATATACTTTAATTTATTTAACTTGAGGCACATCAAATGACTTAAAATGGAACAGGAAGAACTGTGGCACATTAGGTCATCCACAGATCAATACGGAAACACCAAAGATTATGCTGTGACCTCTATGGCCTGATCTAAGTGCTGTTGGGATGCTGGTAAGGTGAGAGTGGCGACTCGGCAGCCTGTCCCCCCTATTAAATTTGGCTTGAAAACATATTATCCCAGTTAAGGCAATTTGGCTTGACCTGGAAAAGGGGATTCACAAACAACACAAAGCAAAGCTGTTCTGGATTTTTGATACAGATGCATTAATCTTGTCAACAGCTTATCTGCACTGAAGCTTGCAGGAAACGTGTACGGAGGAGGTGGTGGCAGAACAACGAGGAGGGAGGGGTCTGGGGCGGTTTCCATGTACACCAGAATCAGAAAGTGCAACGTGTAATAGTGTTAACATGAAACAGGAGGAGAGGACTGGAGATTGGGACAACCTCCTAATCCATGGGCAGCAGTGGGTGGGGGCTCCAGAATAGGCCAGTGTAATGAAGCTCATTTAGAGGATTATACTGAGTAGATCTACACCCCCTCCGTGATGGTACTGCCGGACCCAGAGCAAAGGAGACGTACAGATTTACTCTCATAGTTAATGCCAACCAATCCTTTTGCCCCTCTACAGGTTGCTCTTAACCTGGGCTCATTAATGACTTATAAAACAGCAGTGTGATCAGGCCATGAAGATTAGCCCTGATTCATTTTCCCAAATTAGCCACATGTCTTTAAGCCGTGTACAGGGGGCCTAAGTGAGCACAAGGTCCTGTAGAGAGCAAAGATCAGGGAGGTGTGATGGAGATGTCAAAGCACCATGACTTCAGCCTTTTCACATGCCTTTCTTTTGACCAGGAAACAAAACTTTTCCCAACTATTAACTGGAAATCAATACAGTAGTTCCTCGCTACTTCGCGGTTTGTTTATCGCAGATTTGCTCTATCGTGGTTTTTCAAAATAAAATTGGACATGACACACAATTGGCTGATTGATGGATGAGCCGCACAATTGGCATGGAATTTTTATTTAAAATAAATTATTTAGCACCTCCTGCACCTCTGTGCAGCCCTTACTGCAGGATAAACTTACTGCTGCAGCTGATCAGCTGATCTGCGTGCAGAGCGGAGAAGTGGGCGTGGTCAAGACAGCTTGCAAGGAGCTGAAAGCAGTGAAGGCAAAGAAAGGGAAATCATGACATTCTGTGCTCTTTGAGAGTGTTTAGAGTTTAGAAACATTGTTTAGAATATTGCAAGAGTGTGGGAAGGGTTTAAAAATTAAAATGCCTTAATATATCTATATAATAAATTACTACTTATTACTTGTACTACTATTCCTACTTCTTATTTCCTTCTCTGCCACGCGCACATTTCTCCTGCATTGGCTTTGTGAAGGGTTAACCTTTTGCTGTCCAGATGCATCGATCAACTTTTGTCTTCCAACTTAAAACTCAAAGTATGTCACATCGTAAAATCATCATAATCACAAAATAAAAAAGTGTTAAAAGTTATTTTTTAATTATTTTATAACTTCTATGTTCAGTTGTTTCTGTGTAATTGATCAAGAAGTACATTTCTGCTCCGTGCTGCAGAGCTGTGTGAAGGGTTAAACCTTTGATGTCCTGTTGCACTTTTCTTCCATACAATTTAAATAGTGTAACATTTTAAATAAACAATGCTGCATGTATTGTTTATTTAAAATGTTACAGTATCTAAATTTAAATAATTTATTTAAGGAGGGAGATTGGGAGTAACAGGTGATGAGTGTGATTACAGCCTGGCAAATGTCATGACAAAGTTTACTGAACTTGACCTGAATTTGGACTACTGTATCTCTACTTTGTGGTTTTTCACTTATTCACAGGTGGGCGTGGTCTCAACACCTGCGATAAACAAGGGGCTACTGTATTTAAATTAACCTGGAAATAACTAAAGACTATAAACACAGAACTTTAAATTTAGGAAAATCACATCTATCATATTTTCCTTATGTTAGCAGGCAGCTATAAGACCACAGCGCATGAAAAAGTCAGATGGAGAAAAAGACTGAAGTTGTTTGGTTGAAGTTCATGGCAGCTCTCCATGGAAACTGGACAAGCCCCCCAGCTATTACTGAAAGACAAAGATAGTGGAGGTGAAAGAAGAGGAGGGTGTGAGGATTTAATACGTCAGCGCTGTGGAATGAGGTGTTTTTATGTCGTGGTGTGGGGTGTAACTGGGACTGGTTTTGGTGTGGCCTTTCCCCCAAAATTTTATTTCATAATTCTACTAGAAAACAGTAACAAGTTAAAACATTCAAACATAACCCAGAGAGCAACACAGGAAGGATAGATAAAAAATATTTTAGAAAATACATCTATGTTTATAATACCCAGAGAGATACCCTGCAACATTTGTAAAATCTTATCTAATCCCTCTCAGCTTCATTTACACAGGGCTGATAGTGGAAAAATATCCTGAGCCTGAACATTTTTCTATGGCCGGGAGGTGGACATGAGGTGGAGGGTGCTATGTATGAGACACACTTTTAATACACAACACATAATATTATATGAAAATAGCCCTTTTAACCCATGGGCGGTTTATGGTCTTGTGGGCTCCTGGACTCAGATGTATAAAAAGCCTTTTGTGTATAACCATGGTCATACATTATTGGCAAGGAGGGGTCTGAGAGTTTTCTCCCCTAAGAGAAAAAATTGAGAAATAGAGGACATTCAGACAGAAGATGAAAAAACCCAATGTGAGCCTATATTATATATTATTTGAGCAGAGCCTCAGACTTCAGGGCCCCCTGGCTCCTGGGCCTTGTGGACCCGCTCAGTAATCCACCCCTGCTTTTAACTACCAGTAGTCACTTCACTGCTTGCCTATTGCTCTTACTGTGCATTCACAACAACAGCTACTAAAGCTGTAAAATCACTTGACGTAATTCACTTTCTATTGACAAGAATGACAAAAATGATGGCAACACTTTCTTTGAAGGGGGTGACATAAGGGTGTTATGAACCTGTCATAAACATGCCATGGCATGTATCATCAACATTAATGACGCTCTTTTCATGGTCGTGACTGTTGTGTCATTTTGTTTTTGCAATGTTTGAACCCCAAACAGTGTCAGCTTTTACTTTACAAGAACCGACAGAACTTTTTTTCCTGCTAGCTCCATACAGCAGCCTCCCATTTTTTAAAGCGCAAAAACAGGCACCAGGTTGCCGGATCTTTTGAAACCAGTTCCCAAAGGGCTTTCCATCACTACCCACCTCCTCTATCCAAACCCAGCGCCATTTGTTCTTTATGTCTTTATCAACATCTTTAGCGTCTTCCTCTGGCTTCACAAACTTGCAGTCCATGCTCGATGTGAGTTCCCAGTGTGGGGAGCAGTGACATTCAATGGCACACGGAACAACTGCCGGATCTCAAGCAAAGTTTTGCGAAGACCCAAGGCCCGACCCCACCTTATTTTTGATTAGCTAGTAGGCCTATCTAGTGTGGTTGGGTGTGAAAGCTGTGTCTCTGTTAGATCCAGAGAAATGTCTGCTTAATTTCTGGACGAACCCGAAGTTTTTTTCTGGAGATTAGGCTATCAGCCCTGTTTACACCAATGAACACCACCTCAGACAGATTATAATAATACTATATTAGCTTTAAAGTGTAATGTGAAAATGCCCAGTATTGACCTTATCCTTATATACCAGTAATCCAAATTAAGATCTTTAGCCTACAAGGTATAATGCATGTTGTTTAACTTAGAAAATATAATAAATAAAATCTACAATATTAAGACTTATTAAAAGTCAGCATATTTATAACCAGAGGTAAAAAAGCTGAAAATCAATTATATTTAATGCTTAGTGTTAGTAATTTATTTAACTTAAGTTACATATAACAACAAGCACAATCATTTCTTGTGCACTTTTTTTAATCTACTTACTATACTCTTAGCTGTCAGATTGGGCTGTTACTGTTGCACATTACAGATGTTTCATTAAATCGTTTTAATCAATAATAATCATTTATACATCTATTTTCTGTACTTGCTTTGTCCTGTTCAGGGTCATGAGAGAGGGTTGAAGCCAATTGCAGCACTCAGTGGACAAGAGGTGGGGTACAACCTGGACGTTTTGTCAATGGAACACAATCATTTTTCATTTAGAAAATGTCCCAATTTTGAGTTTTTATTAAACGTGTTTTAAAGAGACTAAAATAACATTAAATTTATGAAAAAAAAAACGTGAAATGTTATCTCTAGATATCGTTTTTTTTTTTTCAGAACAGATGGCGTTTTAACGCACCGGGATTGCTGCAAGTGCTTTGTCAGTTATCTAAGGCAGTGTTGGACATCAATCCTGCATTAAACAATTAGTACAACTACAGAGGTCAGAGATCAGCCAGGGGTTATTGATGTGTGAATTAAACTGCAGGTCAGCAGGAAGCCATGTTTTCATACAGGCCTGCTTGTGAACAATGACAGAACAACAAATGAAGCACAACAGCAATGGCCCCAAAGTGACAGGCCAGCAGTTAGTTAGCCTCCAATTCAAGTCCATGCTTTTGTCCCCATCTGCTGTCAAATCAAATTTCAATTTTATGCATGAACAAGGAACTACATTAAGAGGCCATAGCAACACACACACACACACACACATGCACGTGCACGCATGGGTTTTCTCTGGGTACTCTGGTTTCCTCCCACAAACCAAAAACATGCATGTTAGGCTGATTGGTAACTCAAAATTGTCCCTAGGTGTGAGTGAGAGTGAATTGTTGTTTGTCTCTATGTGTCCCTGTGATGGACTGGAGACCTGTCCAGGGTGTACTCCGCCGCTCGCACATGGGCATCAGTGACCCCGCGACCCGAAAAGGAAGAAGCGGGTAAAGATATTGGATGGATTTTTTGGGGGGTCAATTATATATAATATTAT